TTTGAAGACTGGTGCAGTGATTGCCTTTTTGCTGGTCCTAATTGATAAATTAATAAGATGAGATATAGGTTTCATCAATATAGATCTGTATTTCTAAATGAAACAAATAACCAAATTATGAATGTCTTTTGCCTTAGAATTTGATAATTTCTTAATAACCTTTTTGCTTCACCAGCTTCTTGGATATGAAAGCAGTCAAGTGATTCTGTGAATACTGTATTATTAGTTTTACTTGGAGAGTCAAAGTGTCATGTCAGTTTTTCTTCTGATTTTTATAAATTACATGTTAAATTCATGCACCACAGTGGCATTATCTGTAATGACTGTAATGAGGCTTTTGCTTTATGTAATTCCAGTGCTACTTTATTTCTTAGACTTTTGTAGATCAGATGATCAATATTAAGTTTAAAAGATAGTGAGGTTTTCAAAGCCAGATATAGTTTTTGGCTGGACTGCAACAGCGGAGCCAGCCCTATAATCACAAATGTCCCTGACTGACTGACTTCAGTGGAGTGCCAAGCGACAGTGTACTGAGCTCTGGTCTCTGGTCTCCGGTCTCCCGCTCGCTCGGGAACTGCAGGGGAGCGGAGGAGCGGCAAAACTCAGAGTAAACTACTGTCATTACATGTATCATTATTACTGAAGGAGGCAGAGGAATAACTAAGCATAAGACACTGCGCGCAGAGAGAGCAGGAGAGAGGTCATCGGTTACAAGGCTTTGTACTAATGACTATGACCAACTCTACATATCAAACAGAAGGAGTTATAAATAAAACTAACTAATAAAATCTAATAAAAGTCTGTGACGTTCTGGAGTTGAAGTAAATAAAGGTTAAACTATTTTGGATCCAGATGGCGGCTGTGCTCCGTGTATTAGAAGAAGAAAGAATTATCATCTGCTTTAAAGCACTCTCCCTTACAGCTCACCTGCTCAAATTCCTGCTTAGAGTTTAGTTTTTACTGCGGCAGGCGGGGTTCGAGTCTGGCCTGTGACGCTTTGGTGCACGTCATCTTCTTTCTCTCTCAATCCAATTTTTCCGTCTCTCTTTCTCACTATAACTGAAATAAAGGCAAAAACCTGGAAAAATAACTTGGAAAAAGGAAAGATAGTCTGTCTCTCCTCTCTGACTGTTTATAAGTAAAACCAGCTGAAATCACACCTCAGTCTTTCATCTATCCCTGTGGAGATTTTTCTCAGAGGGCTGCAGTTATCAAATCAGGATTTGACCATAGGCGGTCCAGCCACATACTCAGCTTGACCTGGTGTTGTTTCATAAGTTTACATATTTCGCTATTTAGCCATGATACAGTTGCCTTCTTTTATTTACATTTCATGTTTTTCGTATATTTTGCTGTTAATTTCACTATAGCAGTAGTCATGGAGTTACAACACACATCCAAGTCATCTATTTGTATGAGCTGATCCCAGCTGATATTCCCAAGGTCATGTTCAAATTGCACATTTTTGGATTTAGGGATGACCATCTTTAAACAGTCATTGTTGCTGCTACCAAAGTGCTTGAACATCCTTTAATCATCTGATGGAAATTGAACTTTGACATTTTATTCATCATTTTCAATTTTTGTTTATTGTTTTTATCCAAACAGATAATGTTGTAATCACCATATAATATTGTTTCTATGTGAGAATCAAACTTTTAGTTCATCATAAAAAGAATCACCATATGAAGGTGGGTTATATAAAAGAATAGAATCACGAGAAGAATCACATTTAGGGCGAAGCATTTAAGATGGGTGTTCAGTTCTGTTTCTCTGCATTTGTACTTCTCTTTCATATAAACCAACACTCCTCCACCCCTACCGATCACTCCATCCTTTCCAAAGCATGCATAACTAGGAATGTCTATCATATTTGCTGGCCCATTTCTGTGGAGCCAAGTTTCTGTTAGGCAAAGATAGTCCAGGTTTGAGTCCGTCAGCAGAGTATGAATCTGCGAATCTGGCTTCACAGTCTGGAAAAACAGATTTTGTTTTTGTTTCTGCGCTGGGCACACAGTTTTCCCTGGTTTAGGTCATCTTTGGCCAGAAAGGTCCATGAGAACACCAACAAAAGACAGTAACTATCCACAGCCTGTTTATAGGTGTGGATCTTTACACATGGCCTGTTGCACCCGTCTCTCTCCAGGATACCTCCTCTGTCCAACCCAGCCGGCTGCAAGACCTGTCTCCATCAGAGCCAAAATATAGTTGAGCTAAAGGATTCTAAAAAGGTTAAAAGGTTTCTGCCTTTTGTTGGTTCAAATCGTTTCTCAACCACAGAACACTCTGTTTCTATTAGTAGTGCCTCACCTTCCACTGCCTATTTTACCTGTGCTGTGCCACAAGAAATCATTTTTGTTATTTACTGACCTGGAGAAAGTCATCTATACTTTTATCTCTAGCCGTTTGAACTAATTCACTTCCCTTTACTGTACCAACCTGCCTTGTGTCAACAATCCAGGCTGGTGGTGGTAATGGTGCGAGGGATGTTAATGCCAACTACTAACTACTAGTACTAGCACCAAAAGTGCAAGATGCTATCAGCAGAGATGAGTCTTCAAGACATTCCTGAAGATAGAGAGTCACTCCTGCTTGGTCCAGAACAGTTTTGACTGAGAATGTCTTGTGTGCAGGGATGGTGATGCCAGACCACATTCCTTGGAGGAACACAGTGGCTGAGAAGGAGTATAAAGCTGAATGTTTGAGTTCAAGTAGATGGGTGCAGATCTAGAAGTCACACTGTAAGCAACCATTAGTAACTTGAATTTGATTTGGGTGGGGGGTGGGGGGCGGCATGGGTAGCCAGTGTAGGTCAATGAGCAGCAGAGTGACATGTGCCCTTTTAGTCTGATCAAAGACCAGACACACCGCCGCATTCTGATAAAGTTCTCTGGTTTGTCAGGGCTGGTATCAAACATGACCAGTCCCATCACAGCCTGTCATCTTTTGCCATGTTTAAGCCAATCTTTGCCCTACCAGTCATTCCTGAAATGTCTAATCATAACTTAAGATTAACCTTGATGAAGCCCTCACCCACACCAATGTAGCGGAACACAAAACAAACACATCTGAGGTGTGATGCATCTTTCCATCCATCCTTTCCATCTTTCATTTTTTTCATTTTCATCTTAAAGCCCCCAGACAGAAGAACATGAAAATCTAAACTCCAACCATGCCATGAACGTATTACTGTTTTTACTGTTTGAATGCATGTACTTGTATTCTTACTCCTGAGATTTTTTCGTCATTTGTAGTTAACTCCGCAAGTTGTATGTTTGTTAAACTCATATATTAATATTTCCACAACCATTAGAGAGAAACATTTGGCGTTTGGTCTCTTTAAAATCACCTGAACATCAGGATATTATTATTTAGGATCTTGCTTTAAAAATTAACATCATTAAACATGTCATATCTGGCCTCTACCGGACATTGTGCCCAGAGGGGGTGTAGGTATGACACTGACCCCTTGAGAGGGTGAGCCACCCACAGATGGCTAGGTGTCCTTCTGTACAACTTTCAAAGGAATTTCCTTTGCTAATGATGCTACAGGTGTCCCATTCTGTCTTCACGATGCTCTGCTAATTTCAACTTTCAACAATCTTCATCTTCACCTCCACTGCTGCATCATCACCTTCTCACTCACACCGGACACTGCAGAATCAGCTGTTCTGTATGCATCTTTTCTGCTAACTGGGTGAATTCAGAAATGACTATTAGCTTCTCTATCCAGATGTGATTCTAAATTTACCAGCTGCATTTCGTTGGGGTAAATTTTCTTCATCACACTCTGGAAACGTATCTATTCTTTCAGTGTAGTGTTATTGTATGTGGAGTTAGTGTTTGTTGTTGTGGTCGTGTCGGTCTTTGTTCGGTAGTGTTTACTAATAAAAGTTTTTAAGGCAAAGTTAAATTAAGTTGCTGCCTGTGTTTTCTGTAACTTTCTTTCAGTCACTGAACTTTACTGATCTCTGTTGTTTGCTCTGGACTGATCATACAGAGGGATGGTTATTAGTTTATAGTGGTGACTCTGAAATTGTATTGCAAATCAAATAATTAAAAGGGTTCTGCATGATTATTCTGATTAATGCCATATTTCTCCAAATTGAGCAAAAGTTTCCCATATCACGGAGAGCAACACAATGGGAAACACTATTTAAAGGGGAAACTTGAATACAAGACTTATTACCCCCAATGTTCATTCCCATTTGAATGTTTTCTTTTAATGAAGTTCCTTAACATAAACCCTGGAAATTCAAGAATATTATTGGTCTATTTTATGTTTCTTTGAGAGAGTTTCTTTGTTAGGTCTCTCTGAGAACCATGAACTTCAGTTAATGCTTTGCCGTTTTTTAAATAAATAGAATAAAATAAGATAAACACCATAGATGTTGAATTTATCCCAAGATTGGATGACCCGGGAGGTGACTCATTAAATTTATTGTAAAGTGTAATCTTTAGCTTCAGTTGAGCATTAGTTCAACTGAATTTAAAGCTTAGTAATTGGATGTTGCTAAAAAAAAAAAAAAATTCTTTTTGAGTCATAGTTGAGTCTTTACATTTAAATGGTAACATATAAATGTAATATGGTAACAAACCCGATATTTTCAAACACAGTTGTTTATTTGAACCTCAAATTTTGAACTTTACTCACAGAACCCTATAGAATGTGTGTACAGTGTGTATACACAGTGTATACAAGAGTTGAGCCCAGGATGTTTGGCCGTCAGAACAAAGACTGGAGTCACCAGGGAGCTGCAAGCCTTGCTCTGTCAAAAGTTCTTAAAATCTCCAAAGCAGTTTCGTCACTGAATTGTCTTTGTGTTTCTTGTTAGCTAAGACTCTAGTTGATGAATACGATTGTATGACTTTGTGGGGTTTGTGGAGTCTTTCTTTTTTTTGTTTGTTTTTTCTTTTCTCAATAACCTTCAACTGCGGGGCTGTTAATAAGACGGTCAAACTGTCTCTCTATCTCTGATGTGTTTTTTTCTTCTTTCCAGGATCTGTTTGCGCTGGACGTGGAGCCTTACCGATACAGTGGTGTGAACATGACGGGCTTCAGGATCCTCAACACTGAGAACAGCCAAGTGGCCTCAATCATCGAGAAATGGTCCATGGAGCGACTGCAGGCTCCACCCAAACCTGACTCTGGTCTACTGGACGGCTTCATGACTGTGAGTCTCATGGATGAATGAATGAATGAATGAATGAATGAATCCCTCTGTCAGTCAGCAGTTACTTACCTATTGTCTCAAACTCTTGGATTCCATGAAGTATATTGCTGAGAACATGTACACAGCACCATCTATCTGCTGTAATGCTCCATGTTTCTCCATCAGGTCACTTTTAAACCTGTAGTTTGGTTCATTTGGTCTGGACTAAAGAAACACACATTGCTGTACAGTGTTGATTTTTAGTTTGTAGTTTGATCAAATGTTGGTCCAGATTTGGTGGCAGCATTGTGAGTACGCTACAACATGCAAAGCTCATGTTCATTCCATTTGCTGACAATAAGTCCTGATGTGCATCATATGTGCCTTATGGGTTTATTCATGTTTTTGGCTGTTCTGGAGGCCAGAAAAATTAGGTTATTATAAGAATTATTTGGAGAAACAGGACAAAAATCAGGTGTTTTACCTCACAATAACTAACCGTTAAAGTCATCTGGATGTAGCTGCGTCATATCCCGGCTCTGTTACAGCTCTTGAACATGAACCACTTCCATCTCACTGGTGGTCCTCTATCAGACATGCGTGAAGTCTCTCAGTGTCCACTGCTCTTTTCTTACCGTTATATGCTGTATTCATGCTGGAGCAGCTTGCATCTCTGACATGCAAAATTCCCTTTGAATTGTTATAAATGGCAATATTTATTGACAGTTGCCATACAGTCCATATGTAATCATGCAGTTTGTTACTGATGGTCTTGTTTTATGACCGTTGAATGAAAGAATGAATGCCACAGTTTTCCTTCTACTTTTCAGGAAATACAGACACAAAATAAAACCAGGACAGCTTGGTGCTGTGCAGTGATTACAGTTAAGTATCTGTTACCAGACCAACTGTGCATGAGCTGCAAACATGTTCAGTATGTTTATAAAACATGTTAATGCATTGCAGCAGTGGCCTGAGCTGGCTGTAAGTGTGGTTTACTTTTTAGAGAACTTGGTTTGGGTCAGAATCTCACTGATGCAAGCCTGTAAAACCCATTAAAACTCTAATATGGGGCACATGTATTTCCTCCACATTTGACCAATAGGACAATGTAGCAAATATTCGCCAATATTTCCCTGCTGGTTGGCTGTTTTCCACAGACATGAAGTCACGTCTTAAGCTATAAAGCATTGTTCTTGACATGATAGACTTGTTAGGGTGAATGTGCTGTGGCTTCCCTCACTGTAACTTCCCATTCGTCTGAGGGAGTCAAAAGGAAAACCGTGGTGCCCCGAGCTGTGAGCCCCTGGGCGTGATAAGAAGAGTCTCTTTCACTGTGATCTGAAACCTCTCTGATCAGTGCACACTGCCTGTAATAACTGTTCCTCCACGCAGCTTTCATGCCAATCTCTTATCTGGGAACTCTGCCAAAAAATATCAACCCACCAGAGACAAGGAATGAGAAGGAAAAGAGAGTAATGGAGGAGGGAAGAAAAATGAGATGAGGGGGATGAATGAAAAGGAGAAGGACAGAGAGTGGGTGAAGGGGAGGCAGAAGTGAAATCAGAGTCCTTGTGTTTTATTCCCAGAAATGTTGAGGTGTTAAATGTTGGGCCGATGTAGCCGCTTGGTCTGATTCCAGTTGTAAAGCACTGGCGGCAGCAGTAGAAACATGTTGGCTGCTGATTGAAAACAGTGGCCTACCTCTGGGGAATAACGGATTCCCTTTTTTTTCTTTTTCTAAAACAGCAAGATCTTGCTGAGTCATGTTTCTGGATTGATATTGGAGAGTGGGTGTTACTCAGTTTAAGCCCCTTTTGTTGGATTTGTGGCTGAATCAATACTGTTTCCCACTTGAGACCTGAAATGGACTGTTTGTAATAACTGGACCTTTTCAAAACACAAAAAGCTCAGACGGTTGCCTTTATAGCAACTAGCTTTCAGCACAAGCTGCTACATGGAGTCCTGAGTTGATGTCTTAAGTCCACACAGAGAAGAACAAACAAGGCAAAAAGAAAAATCTTTTTCATCATCTTTGTGTTTATATCTGTCTCTTTTACTCCATGCTGTCCTGCAGAGAGTCATCAGGCGAGGTGGTTATTTTTGGATCAGTGACAGGGGAAGATTTATGTGTGAGGAGTCTGCTGTGACCCTGCTCATCAGTGAATTAATGGCATATGAGTTTGAAGGAGGGGACTGATTAATTAGACAAATGGCAATCAGTCAGATGCTAATGCATATTGACATGGTGAAAGGTTCCATAAATGTTTGATTAACAGCTTCATTTGTGTGCTGTATTTACAGTTCGGTGTGTTTAAGCGGTGAAGTGCTGATGTGCTGGAACTTAAAGCCCTGCAGATCATGACAGATTGGACTGAGTGAGCAGTCCAGAGGCTGCCTCTCCACTCAGCACCATTGTTTTATATTTAATGATTGAATTTACCATTTGAACAGTATGACAATTTAAATCAATTGAATTGTAATTTCAATTGAAATTGAAATTTGATTTTGCTCTGAAATCAATAACAGTGACAATAAGGTAAGCACTGGAAAAAATGGCCGCTCAAATGCCACAGTTGAAAACATTCAAAGCAATGGCACATCATACGTCTACAGTCTAGGAAGGTGTAGACTGAAGCTACAGCGTATTGTGCCTACACTTTTTCCAAAACACATCCTATTTGACATCAGGAGCTAATATCAAGCAAAAAACCTTGATCCTTGGTTATTTATTTTTATTTTTTACATGTATCATTAATGTACAAAACAAAACATAATAGGCCTAACACTGAGCCTTGGGGAACACCACAAGTAATCTTCAAATATTGTGAGTTATTTTAGTGAACTTACAGTATTCATTGTCCAGTTATCTACCTAACCAGGAGCACGCTACCCCTCGAGTTCCATATTTTTTTTATTTCTTCATTAGTAAGCCGTGATAAGTAGGATCAAATGATTTTTTACAGAAATACCCCATTCATTATTTCTGAAGACTAGAGTCTCAAAAGTTGAGTCCACATATTTGAGCAAGTGAGCGAGCTGAAACAGTAATTCATACTGGGAATATATCTCCATCCCAGGCCACTCTCATGCAAACATCACACCACTCATTTTGCAGGCTAACCATATTTGTTGATGTAGCGGGCACCGGTCAAGTTGTACGTGTGTGTGTGTGTGTGTGTGTGTGCGTGTGTGCGTGTGTGCGTGTGTGCGTGTGTAATATTAGAAGAAGTATTAAGATAGAATAATAGAATAACTTACTAGGTTTTTTTATAGAGTTTGAACTAAATCCCACATAAATTAAACTGAACGATGTCTGTGTAGGATGCCTTTCTGCTGTTTTTAATATACTGTCTGTTTCATTTTTCAGATATCACATTTGTTTCTGTCAGTGTTCTGTGTTTTATAATATTACATTTCGACATCCTCCAACATCTCACTTCATTTTTTCACTTACTGCTTACCTCTGACTTTGCTTACCTGCCAGACCATTTAGTTTGTTTCACAGCCAGCACACAACCCAGCTGCAGCTGAAACCTCTGCATCCTGTGTCACTGCACCAAATCATGAAGACCATTAAATATGCCCATGAAGTTGGTCCAGAGACTGTTTTCTTTTTTCTGGCACATGTCTGTGTGTGACAGATCAGATAAGCTAATTCTGCACCTCATTCCTTTGCCTTCTTCAATTGGTGGCAGAGAATCCCTGCCCTGAGTCGTGGCTTAACATGCACAACGAGAGTGACCTTACAAGCTCCACGCTCTCATTACCATAATGTCTCTCCTTGTTAATTGCTTTAGCTGCTGTCTGATTCATTGTGTGCACTGCAAAATTGAAACAGGTTTAAAAAAAAAAAACACTCAGGCATGACTGTAATTTCTGCATTTATCTCCTTGTCATGAGTTGGAAGGTGGAGATGTTAACTTTTACCCTGGTCCAAGGAAACGGACTGACCTCTCAGTCATCAAGGTCATCTCTTTGTTTGTTGCAGCTGCAAAACACAGTTGGTATTCAGAGCCACAGCATCCCTCCCGGGTCATTTCTATTTCCATATTACCATAAATATGCTTTACCTGTGGGTACATTTAAATGGGGCAGTGATGGAAAGCTATTTCCTTTTTGACAGATACCATTTTAAAGTCAGATCCAAACAGAGTTATAAAAAATGTCACTCAGACATCAGACATATTCCAGGATTCATATTATCTAAGCATTACTCAAACAGCATATGGTGGGCACTGGGAATGGATAGAATGAGTCATATGAGAAATATATATATATTAAACAGCAGGAAGCTCTTCTGAAGGCTTACCTGCCAGAACTGTGTGAGCACTCTGCTATTATTGTGTGCCTGCCAATAAACCTTACATATATGTTCACAGTGTACTTTATAGTTGTTAATTAATTTTGATCAAGAAGTGAAGACCATTTGTAACATAATCATCTGCACATACACGCATACACCAAATGTTCATTAATCATCACATTTCCTGCTCCAACAGTGTCATTTTTATGCTACTAAAAATACATTAAAATAGTTAATCAAAAAATTCTTATCATAAGGTCCACTTCTGTGTTTTTCTGGGCGCTTTTAGCCACATTTCATGGCCTTCATCAATGCCTGGATTTGTTCAGCTATCACTGAGACTGTGTAGTTATGATATGGCCTAAATGTGGAATTGGCATAAGCTGCAATGTGAAACCATGCACACTTGGGGCAACAACTAAACCATCCCCATGATAACTGAGCAAACTCTGTCTGTTGATGAAGGCCATGAGATGTGGCTGAAAGCCTCATGAAAAAGCCAAATAAGCCAAATTCTTCCAAGGTCAAGAAGGAAGAACCAAGCCCAGTTCTTTAAGTATGTGTCAAGTTGTCACAGAAACATTTGTTCAATTTCAATTTTCAAATTCAAGTTCAATTTAATTTTTCTTTCTACAATGAGATGCTCAGGATCTCTGAGAAGATGCTCACAGGAGTAATGCAACATCCAGAAAGTAACTTCATCCAGCAGAGCAGC